TCCCAAGTGCTGGCCTGCACACTTCCCTGAAGAAACCTTTGGACATCTAACTTGACTCAAGAGAGTGGAAAGCGCCAACATCTTCCATTGTTAGACCATTTAAAAAATATGTCCTAGAGTTAGGAAGTGATCACAATCTTGTAATATTTTCTGTGTTCTCCTCTTCTAAACAGAGTGGTTCTAACCACAAATTACCTAAGTAAAAATGGTCATATAGCAATAATGGGAGGATTTTTATCTTGTTGAGCCTATCTTTACCTTCCCTGATGAGGATGTTTTTTGGCTAAGTCATTTCACGGTGAAGTATGCACTGAATGGCCAAAGAGGTCAAATGCATTTCCATGCATTGGGAGATTATATTTTAATGGAAAGGGACTTGTTGGCATATCTTTATGCATTTAACAATTAGGTTGAATTACTGGACATGAATTCAAATTGGTAAGAGATGTTTGCCAGTTTAGATGCTTTTAGAATTTTTCTTTCTTTCTTCTTCTTCTTCTTCTTCTTCTTCTTCTTCTTCTTCTTCTTCTCTTCTTTCTTCTTCTTCTTTCTTCTTCTTCTTCTTCATTGTGGGATATAGGCTTGTAACTTGCCAAACAGCTAAAGAAAATGATAGAATTGAAAAAAATAGAAGTTGAAGTAACTGAGGTTTTTTCTTTTTGTCCTTGAATAGGGACTTGACTACTTGACCAAATGGAAGGTTGCATATTTTTCCTATTAATGTTTTATGATAATCTCTGGAGGAAATGCATAGCAAGCTACATACTGATCATTTTAAGTTTTATACTGTGTTGTTTTATCCTATTGGTACTTTGTGTTCCTGAGTAGCTCAAAAGGAATTTTCAGAATCTTGAAGTCAAGAGATTTGCCAGTGAAGACTTTGTACTCTTCTTATCAAATCAGTTCATAGTTAGGGCTGCCTTTCATTCACTGTATGATGCTGAAGATCTTACTTTTCTTCTGTTCATCAAGTCTTTATTTGAACTTCCCTTAAGACCTATCTATCCTGTAAATAAAAGAGCATTTTGTGATTTCCCCATTGTCATTTAGTGCCTGTAAATCAACCCATTTAGTAGACCAGAATAATTGCTATCCATTTAAAGGATGCATTTCTTTACTTTTTGTTTGTTTTCTTTTGATAGACTTTTCTGGTGAGATTAGTTATGGTATTAATGAATGTGACCGTTTGGTATTATATAAATGAAACGTGTCACAGTTTGGAAGATTTACGTAACTCAGTGAATCAGTATTTTCTAAATGACCACATCATGATGGTACAAAATCATATATAAGTAAATGATATGTTTAAAGTGCAGGATAGATGGATGGAATTTGATGTAGGAGTATGAAACATTTATGAATATAGTTTCAGATTCCACATTGTAACTAACCTTTAAGAAACTACCACTTGTTGAGTTTCGGTATAGTATCCAAGAAGAATATATCCAGAATTATTTGTCAAGGCTATTAAAATACTCCTCTCTTTTTAAAGTACATATTTGAGTGAGGTTGGATTTTTTTCATATATTTCAGCCAAAACAACATATCGCAACATTGAATGTAAAAGCAGGTATGAGAATTCAGCTCTTTTATTAAGCCAGACATTAAAGAGATTTGCAAGAATATAAAACAATGCCATGCTCTGTTTTTTTTTTGAAATCATAGTGATTTCACTAAAAATGTTTTTTTATGTTTACATGTAGTAGGTTTGTTATTTTAACATGAATTAATAAACATTTTTAAAATTTCTTGGTTTTCATATTTAATATAGTAAATGTGATCCCTATAACTCATATAACCAAAAGCTCTTTGGTGTTCTCAGGACTTTTTTTTTTTTTTTTTTT